CTCTTTTTTTCTTACTCATTTTTATATATTTAGCTTTATATTATTTTATCTTTACCACTTTATTTTATTTCATGGTTTCTTTTGGTTTTCCCAGTCTGTGAAGCCCAGAAGGAGGAGATACACAGAGAAAATAACTGATGCTCGGGTTTCTCGGTGACCTGGGGTTGGGGATTGGAAGAGAGGAAGGGTAAGGAGATTTGGGGAGCAAACAATGAATGAGGGAGAGGGAGGAAGCATTAGAATGATTGTGATTATGCATATACAAGTCATTTTAAAAGCAATCTAATCATGGAAGTGTATGGGATGTGAGTCAAGAAAACCATGGCGCGGGGGTGGGGTGGGGACCAAACTTGACCCATGGTTACCAAGGTGAAGGGGAAAGAGTTGTTGGTGAGGGACATTGAGTTTTTGTCAATGGTGGTGGAATCATCTGGAAAAGGACATCCATAATGGTTGTAGGACACGGAGCGCGTAATCAACGACACTGAATTAGACAAGGAGAAGCTGTGGAACTGGAGAATGATCTGTTGTGTGTGTTTTTGCCACAATTAGAAAAAAACAAAGCAATTACATGAATCACAATGGCTACAAGGAAGAAGAAAATGTTGTCGAATCGAATATGGTGACAATTGTAATGGCATGTGGATGAAGTGCTAATAACACTGTCACAAAGAAATAAAGGGGAAACTTTTTAAAGAATGAATAAATCTGTCTTGCAGGAAGTGCAGCCAGAATGTTCCTTAGAAGGAGGAATAGTGAGTTTGGGATAAGTGACCAGAAGGAAGCAGGCCTTGGAGAAGGTTTTCAAGATGGTAAAGGGTATGATTATTCCCAAGGATTTGCTTCTCCCTCTGCCAAGGAGGCCCGAGCAGTGTGAGTGGCTAAGGGCCTGTGCTGCCAATCGGAAAGCTAGAGAGTAGCCCACTCCAAGGCCACTCCGAGCCTCTCCTTCTGAAAACTGTCTTTGAAAACTTACAAGCACAGCTCTTCTCTGACACCCGGGGTCCCCAGGAGGCAGAACCAACTTGATGGCAACTGGTTTGAGCTTTTCGTTCTTTTGTTTCCTCTTTTGCCACCCAAATCCAGGGCCCCACGTGTCACCCACAACACCTCTTACCGGGTCTCCCTGTGCCTGAGTTATGAACCCTTGCTCTAGGGCCAAACTGTTGACACAGTCTCTTTTTCAAAGCCATTCTGATTGTCATTTTCCCGCTTAAAAAAAAAAAGTGCTTAAGCTTTTCATCCCTCTTGATAAGGTGACCAGATTTTAACATTGGTAAAGCGGGACACCATTGATAAAACTCATATCCTGGCGAAATAGCCACATGGCAGCCAAAAACCGTATACCCTGGCTTGTCGTACATTCTTTCCAAAAACTGGGACTCTTTTAAAACGCTGCGGGACGCAGGAAAAATTGTTCAAAATCGGAACTGTCCCACCAAAAGCGGGATGTCTGGTCACCTTATTTAAGAGGCTGTTCAAACGCAACCTTGTGGCTTCTGAGGCTCTACCACGGGGGCCTGGTCACTTCTCTACTTTCATTTCTTGTTGCTTGGTTTTGCTCTGTCTTGTTTTTATGCATGTTGTCTCCGCAGGCCTATCTGGATAGGACAGGCTGGATGAACGATCTGGAGGAGAAAACAACGGGACTGACAGTTCCGGGGGGACATGGGAGAGGGGGAGGAGGGGGGAAGGGAAGAAGAGGGGATACTTTCATTTCTCTTAAAGCTCTTTCTGCCTCCTGCCTTGTGCCCTTTGCCTTCTGGATTCCTTCTCGTGCTCCAGGGTCATTCCATGAAGAGGTAAAATACAGTGATCCGATAATGTAATGCTCCCTACTTCCTCTATCACATTAAAAACAAAGCAAAAACAAAGCTCGCTGCCATTGGGTTGATTCCGACTCGTAGTGACCGTCTAGGACAGAGTAGAACTGCCCCCTTAGATTTCTGAGACTATCAATCTTTGCAGGAGCACACAACCTCATCTTTCTCCTGTGGCGGGCCTGGTGGTTTCAAACAGCTGACCTTGTCATTAGCAGCCCAACATGTAACCCACTCCGCCACCAGGGCTCCTTCCTTTATCACATAACCAGCCCACTGTAATTGTTCACTGAGGTCTCTCTTCCGTCCAGACCAGAAATTTTGTAAGGGCTCAGACCATGTTGTACTTAGTCAGCATAACCTAGCAGAGAGCGTGGTTATAATAAGTTATAAATAAAACTTATAAAGATGAGCGTCTATAGGTGGCAGTCCTCGTTCATAGGTGAGCATCAAGGATGGCCTGAATGACGAGTTCCCCTCAAGAGCAGATTTGGAGCAGTGAACACGAAAGACCAGAGGACCTGTGGGACGGCATCAGACATGAAGAAATCAAAAGGTCATTAAAAAGACAGGAAAGAAAAAAAGACAAAGTTAGATGTCAGAAGAGACTCTGAAACTTTATCTTGAATGTAGAAAAGCTAAAGCTCCTGGAGAGTTCAACCAAAACCCCAGAGAAGCTGTTAAGCTTATGATATTGAGAACCCAGTCTACCAACCTGAGTGCAGAAGTTACTGAAGAATCGACGATTTGATTCCCAAATAACAGGAGTAGAGAATGAGGCAGACGAGCAAAAGAAACTCCATTTTGTAAGCTGCCCGTTCAGAAAGCTGACTGCTAGCTGACCTGCCCGTTCTCCCTCCCCTGATGGGAAAGTCTCTGCTGGGGATTAATTTTAGAATGTGCTCCAAGTTCCCAGGTTCTGGACACTACAATTAGTTTTGACTATTCTTCAATGTATGGTTTGTTCTGATTCAATATTGTTCCCTTGGATGTTGTCATCTGAATGGTGTAGTTAATCTTGTCATCATCACCAGGATGTTACAGTATAATTTTGTGATGGTAACCAGGATGCTATAATCAATTTTGGTGTTGTTTCTTTTAGTATAAGAAATATACCTTGTAATACATGCTTCCTCTTTTTAAAAAAATCATGTTATTGGGGGCTCATACAACTGCATGCTTACTCTTCTTGAAGTTACAATTAATCTATTGCTTTTGCTTTGTTTCTGTTCATGCTTGCTTGAACCCTAAACAGGTGATAAATGAGTTTTTCAGCCTTAAAGATGAACTGAGATGTGGACTCGGGACTGTAATCAAAGAATTGCTTTTAGATTCTAGCAGTCCAGTTATAACCAAATAAAGACTCTTCTAAACAATAACAATAAAAGAAATCAAGCTACTCTGCGAAAATCTGGTACAAAATACCTCTCTAAAGAGTTAAAAATAGCCGTGAGGACTAAGGTGTGTCTCACCCGAGCCATGGCAGTTTCTGTCACCTCATATGTGTGCAAAAGCAGGGCAGAGAATAGGAGAACACCGAAAAATGGGTGCATTTGAATGATGGTGCTCACAAAGAATGATAAATAAATATAAAATATATAATACACATATAAATATGTCATATTTATATGTTAGTATATTGTATACAAAGATAATAGTTATGTTTTAAAATACATTTATATAGAAATGTATAATATAGTCATATTGTGTTAGTCTGGGTAGACTAGAGAAACAAATCTAGGGAGACTCAAATGTATAGAAGAAAGAGCTTAATTTAAAAGAGCAATTGTAAATTGAGAAACATCCAGCTCGGATCAAGTCCATAAGTCCAATATTAGCCCATACTAATCCATATATTCCTCTTTAGACTCATGCAGCCATGCAATAATGCCGAATGCAGGAAAGTCGTAGGCCAGTAGGTGGAAAGTCTTGTGGATCCGGTGACAGTAGAGGCATCTCAGTGCTGGTGTGGGCCTCCACATGGCTCCTCCAGCTCCAGGGCTCTGGCTGCATCAGCGTAGCTCCCCCAGGCTGTTTGTTGTCAATAATGTCTCACAGGGAGTGAGCGTGTGTCTCCCCTCCAGTTAGCTATTCATCTCCTTAACGTCTCCAAATGAGGTCATCAAGCTGTGACCTGATTGACAGGCTAAACTCCACTCCTTCACTCTTAAGTCTCAAGTGGACACCAGATTATGTAGCCACCACACATATATTATATATAATATGAACATAATAACAAATAATAAAGATACCATATACCATGGGCTCTGTTCTGGAGAAAGCATAGCTACCATGTTCTTTACGTCTACATACTTTGACATGTTACCAGGAGGGACGAGTTCCTGGAGGGCATTATGCTTAGCAAAGTAGACGCAGGGGTCCTCAGACTTTTTAAACAGGGGGCCAGTTCACTGTCCCTCAGACCCATTGGAGGGCCAGACTATAGTTTAAAAAAAAACTATGAACAAATTCCTATGCACACTGCACATACCTTATTTTGAAGTAAAAAACAAAATGGGGCAAAAACACCTGGCAGCTTGGATAAATGTCTTCAGCGGGCCGCGTGTGGCCCGCGGGCCGTAGTTTGAGGATGCCTGAAGTAGAGCATCAACAGAGAGGAGGCAGACCCTCCCGGCCATGAACTGACATAGTAGCAGCAACATTGTGATCAAACGTGGCATCAGTTTTGAAGTTAGTATAGCACTGGACAGTGTTTAGAGCGGCATCGATGGCACCTAGCAACAGCTGATGCTACAGGTCTGTGTGAAATCGCTTAGGAATGCTGCTAGTGTTAGCTGCCGTCAGGCGAGCCACTGACTCATGGTGGCCCATGCTGCCTGGCCCTACACCATACACCCTTCCCATGATGAATTGTCGATGAGGTTGCTATGATCCACAGAACTGTCAGTGACTAATAATTAGAAGGATGTTTGCAGACTTTTCTTCCTACTTTGTCTTAGTCTGGAAGTCCTGCTGAACTCTGTTCAGCCCCATAGCAACACACAGTCCTCCACTGACAGACGGGTGGTAGTTGTCAGTGAAGGGCATTGGCTAAAGATCCAGCAAGATCTGCTGCATTAACCACCTTTGAGCCAGAGGATTTTGTCAGGAGTTGCTGTAGAGCTGATAGAGCTGCACCGTAGGGGATTCAAAGCTGTGACCTTTCAGAAGCAGAATGCCATGACTGGCTGCCAAGGTAACTTGGTTAAGTTTGAACCGCCAACCTTTTGGCTAATCATCAAGTGCTCAACTGTTTGAGAGAGCATGAGAAGTCCGAAAGACAAGGATGGTTAATGAACAGGCAGATAAAGAGACAGAAGGGAGCACCACGAGTCAGAGTGAATTCAGCAGCAACGGGCTTAAATGGAGAGAAGGTTAAGGGACAATAAGAAATGAGTGACCAGAGAAGAAAGTCAAGTCAAGAAAGAACTCAATCATAAGTCGAAGGAAATTGGACATCCCCAACAGGGCCGACAGCCTCAGTGCCATTGTGTTTGGTTACTGAGCAATAAGAGATGACCTTTGAGAACAGTTAAGAAGCCCTTGTGTGGCACTGTGGGTTAGGCTGCTAACTGCAAGGTCAGTGGTTCAAACCCATCAGCCACTCCTAGGAACAACATTGAGGCTGTCTGATCCTGTAAAGATGTATGGTTTGGGGACGGAGGGGGAAAAATGAGGAGCTGATATCAAGGGCTCAAGTAGAAAGCAAATGTTTTGAGACTGATGATGGGAACAAATGTATAAATGTGCTTGACACAATGGATGGATGGATGGATGGATGGATTGTGATAAGAGTTGTACAAGCCCCCAATAAAATGATTTTTTTAAAAGATGTATGGTCTCAGAGACCCTATATAGGGTTGCCATGAGTTGGAATTTACTCAGTGGTGGTAGCTGAGTTTCTTCCTTGTCAAACTAATGTCCTTAAAGTATACTTTTCTCCTTCTCATTAAGGAGTGCTGGTGACCCTGAGGGCGAAGCACTGGGTGATTGGCATGCACAAGTCACTCCAAGGGAGAAAGAGAGGCTGGGTGCGCCCGACAAGATTTTCAATCTCAGAAACCTTTGAGAGAAGTTCCACTCTTTCCTGTGGAGGGCGCCATCCACCCCTTGGAAAGTGGGCTTGGTTTTTGGTTTTGATTAGTTACTCTATCCATGAAGCGAGCAAACATTCACTAAACAGGTGCTGTGCTAGGTCTAAAACAATGTCCACCCTTGCCTACAAGGAAAAGTTACAAAACACTGACTTGCGCCTGGTCCGAGCCAGGATGGGGCGTTTGCTTGGAGTTGGCACTGATTGGCACTCCAAAGACATTCGATAAAACAAGCGCCAGTGTGTTAAGTCCAGAGGTCAGCAGGTTTGATTGTGTTGCTCTGAACTGGCAGGAGGAAACAGGGCAAGTCTATGTGGCACATAATTGCGTCATTTCTCTCTGTTCCTGAGTCGGTCAGAGAGGATAGTTTTCCCAAGAAAACTTGTGTGTCTGCTCACAGGCAGTAGACAGACAATGGAAACAAAAGCTCACCACCACCACCCACTGCCATCAAGTCGATTCTGATTCACGGGTACCCTGTGAGGCGGCTCTCCATACGCTTCCACAGGGTAGAGCCTCCCCATAGGGTTTCCAAGGAGGTGCATTTTCTTGGAAGCAATCAGCCACATCGTCCTCCCTGGGAACAGCTGGTGAGTTTGAACTGCTGACCTCTTGGCTAGCAGCTGAGTGCTTTGACCACTGTGCCACTAGCCCTCTCTCAATCAAAAGCACATGCCCTTAAAAAACAAAACAAAAGTCTCTGGACTCGATTCTACTTACTACACATTCTGCAGATCTTCCTTTAAATTAGAGGCCTACATGACATGGTTTCACTGGCTGTTCTATTGTTCCATTATTTCTTGTTTCTGCCTTTTTTTCTAACTACCGTAAAACAGTGTATTATAGTATTCAAAAGGTCAGCGAGTCTCTGCCTTCTGAAAATCAGTGGGCTTGTCCATCAGACAGGGAGGTCTGGATGGAGACAGAGAAAGGGGTGTGCCTCCTAACGTTAGACATGTATCTTACTAGCTTTTCATTTAATACAGAGGTCCTCCCATTTACTATATTATTGTTTTGAAAAAAATTTTAAGCCAATAAGGATATAGATAAAAATGTCTGTAAGGCAAAACCTTTAGTACCCTAGAAAAAAACAAAATGTTTAAGGAAACTGTGCTCATCAAAAATTTTGCAAAAAATAAAATGAACTAGT